CGCTATTGTCGGTATTTTGAACGTTTTGAAGAATGGTCGTTCACCGATCTATCATATCTGGGGGGTCCCTTTCACCATTACCCGGCAACTGGACGCTACTCACAGTGCCGATAGTACCATATCGATTTGTCTAAACTGGTGCCGTGTCGGGAGCGCCCGTCGTCTTCCTGAGTTCCCGAGCTGGTCAACCCTGGGATGGATAGGACCATTCGAATATTGCCTCACACCAGAAGTCACATCCTATTTCATGATCAAGTATTGGTCGGGAGAAAGATATCAAGAACTCGACAAAGGCGCCTGTGATCTAAATTATACATTATGTCGAGGTGTTACTCATCAATCTCAATATCTAGAGATTACGACGGATGTCGTACAACTCGAGCCTCACCGTTGGTGCCGCAACGACAATATTTGTTACTTCCTCCAGCCTACTTTCATCAGACAACAGGAGGGCAAGGATCAGGAGGATTGGCATGACAGAGACGGGCATATTCCATTCATCCCGCTGTATTTGGAGGATGAGACGATTTTCGATGCCACGTTACCCGTTGTGTGCGCTACTACAACGCGTCCTGATATCGGTTCTGATTCTTGGAGGTCTATCCGGGCCAAATATGTGTTGCTCATTTTCCAGCAGAAAGAAAAGTCCTACGAGCGAATCGGTGCTTGGGAGTCAAACGTGTTTACCATGGACATGAAAGGAGAGTATACATACGACCCTGACCCTGACCTCTGGGAGTTCGTCCCACCCGGAGAGCCAGGTGCCTGGGATCAAGTCGCAGAGAGACGTACCTTTCTTCTTGGCTAGACAGCTTCGCACACAGTTTTGCGCTTCGGAATATACTTCTTACCGTGTTACAATCTTCTCGCGAACTTGATGCTTCTTCGATCATTAGCGCGCTTGTGACCGTGGTGGCTATGCAACATCATCAGTGTTGCTCAGCCTTGTCCGGATTGGGTAAAGCGGCAGATGGCCTGGGGCGTCATTTCCCGGCTTGAGCTGCTGCTGCCTGCCAGCCTTCCCCACCAACTTTTCTCTCGATATATCCTGCTTCGCCTGCAGAATACGTTATTGCTGGGTTTGCTACCCTTCACGACATTTTTGTCGTGAGACTTAGGACTGAGTCCTCCGCTCATGCCTTGCACCTCATCGTTCCGAGCGAAAGATTTTCATCTGCCGCAACGCGAAATTCAACACCCTCACCTACTTCGACATCGATAGTATCGCCATGCAAAACGATACCAAACGCCTATCAGTCGATAAGGACACTCACACATGCGAGCGTTGTGCGCCTGTCAACTTCCAGAACCTCGCAAACATACCCCAGGGTCCTCATGAACTTTTGTTCAGGATTGATGATCTGTCCCAACCCTTGAAAGATCCATACTGCCCTACTTGTCAGATCCTGCAAACCGCGGTAGATGTACATCGCTCGCAATATACATCTGCTCACGTTTACTGGAAACGCGCTATGCATGCCCAAGGCTTCATGGGAACACTTGAATTCTCCTACTTCAAGGGAAATACTGGCGAACTTTTGATGCCTCTACTAACTGTATATGATAACACGGCTGTTCCAAGGACACCTAAAAGACAGCATCCATCCAAACGTGTCGATTTCGAACAGGCCAAGACATGGATTGATGCGTGCAAAGAATCGCATCCGGATTGCACTGCCCGCTCTTCAAAAATGCTTAAGGGCCTTCGTGTGATCGATTGTGTCACTAGGAGCGTGATCCCAGCCCCACAAGATTCTGTCTACGTTGCTCTCTCGTATGTTTGGGGAATGTCAGGAACCTACGAGGCTCCAGGCTCTTCTGCGCTTCTAGACCAATTGCCACTTACTGTCGACAACAGTGTCGATGCCACTCTCAGGCTGGGGTATCGATATCTGTGGGTGGACAGATACGTACGTTGATCGGATGCTGTCTTCGCTAGACCGCGGCTGACGTGGTACCTAGTGCATCGATCAAACGAGCGCTGTAGACAAGCATGATCAAATAAACCAGATGGGTGATATATACTCTGCGGCAGAACTCACGCTCATCGCGGCAGCGGGAGAAAACTCGGAGTACGGCCTGCCTGGTGTTGTATGCGACCGCAAGCACTTTGGACACGATGTCACGATCGGGCGTCTACGATCTGTTACCACCTACCAATGGGATTTGAAGGAAATAGACCATTCGGTCTGGTCTTCACGTGCATGGACGTTTCAGGAAGGCTACATGTCAAGACGCAGGCTATACTTCACAGATACTCGTCTCATCTACGTATGTGATAATGAGAATGGGGTGTATTGCGACGCCGAGACAGGTTCCAGATCCAGATGGGCTTACCTGGGAGCCCTTTCTAGCTCTCTTCCCGATGGAGGACGGACAGTGGACCTTGTCGATGACATTCTCAGAGAATATACGCGCCGCAAGTTGACTTTCGACTCGGACGCACTGAACGGCATAGTGGGCGTCTTGAACACGCTTAGCAGAGCAGAGAGACCTATCTTCCACACATGGGGGGCCACCTTTGGCGGATCACCCTTAGTCATCGCGCTACATTGGTGTCACTTCAGGCCATGTCATCGGCGAAATGCTGTACCTAGCTGGTCTCCTTTAGGCTGGGAAGGTGTTGTCGGCTACCATAGCTCGGCGCCCGTGATCTCGCCAGCTTTCCAAGTCAACGTCTGGGACCATAGCGGCTTCATCCAGCTATCTAAAGTTGAACAAGGTCTACAGCAGCAAAGAGATGCGGAAAGTTTAGAGAGGTCGCGCTACCTTCAGATTACGGCAAAGCTCGGTTGGGTCGAAGCTCGCTATCTCTTCGCAAGCGAATTTCTTTCGACCGATGGGCTGATCCCCATAGCCAGGAGACGAACTCAAAAGGTTGATACACCGCTTCCAGGATTCTATGTAAGAGTTTGGGATGATGATGATACTGTAGAGATGTATGCAAGGAATCCACCACACTGGGATCTGGAGCCAGATCCTTCTTCTGGGACAATCCGAGTTCTCTGTGCGATAATTCCGCAAGGTCACCTTGGGGGTCATACCGTCGATGATGCTCGAATCATGGTTGTAATCATGCTCCGAAATCATGGAGCTCATTACGAACGGATTGGTTATTTCAGATATCCGCACGTTCGTTTGGGAAAAGGATTGATTTCCAGGGACCAAGAGGGGACTTTTGAAGTGAGGGATAGCGGGAGGATGTCCATTTTCTACACAGATGAGCAGCTTTCCAGGGATTTCAACGACCCAGAGATGCAAACCTTTCTACTCGGCTAGGCCGAGTGCACCTGGGGATGTCTATATCAATGTAAGCAAGGGATCAAATTCCTGCGCGGACACTTCGTCCTTACGATAAAGGGTCTGGCGACGAAACTGGTGCATATCACTAATTAGAAGCAATAGATACAATTTTAGCGCAGCCGTGATCGCCAAATACCATATATCTTACGTACACCAATTACAATAACACAAAAACCCGCCGCACCACACGCCCAAAACTTGACAAGAAGACATGGCATCTCAATCATGAAGATAACCGCACTCAATCACTCAAGTAATCCCCCAATAATCCCCCACCCTCCACCTAACCGCCCACTCCTTGACCGCCTCAAAATCCCTACAAACCCTCTCCGTCCCCCACCCCTTGGTCGCAACCCCCAACACCCCATCTTCATCAACCTCTTCCTTTGTGTCTTCCAGATTGGTATCCGCAGCGCAAATAAGAGCCTGGCGCAGGTACTCGAAGCAATGCTGGATATGATCGGGATCGTCGTGTTCTTCGCCGGAGCTGAGGAGGGCTTCTAGAAAGGGGTTTGGTGTGAAAGTGGGGGTGGAGGGGTGCTCGTGGCTAGTGGAGGTGGTTTCGATTTTTATGTGAGGCGGGCTTAGTGGTGAACGTTGGGATTCGTGGTGTTGGTGTTTGGAGAGGAGGTAGGACTTTTTGTAGTACATTTGTCGGAGGCCGTGCTGAACGGAGTTAGCGGGGTGTCTTGCTGCGATAAGGGAGAGTGAGGGCTTACTAGACAGTGCAGCTCATGGAAGACAGACATGGATTTAATCTCTTTCGCTAGCTTGGGATGTTGGACGAACGCTCGTCCTTTCGGTATCAGGCTTTTCCACATCTTCTCCGTCTCAGCGCTAGGTTCACCGGCGAAACTCTCATTGAGTGACCAGACGACCTTTTCGATCCTGCGGTGTGGACTGCCATACGGAGCTGATGATTGGTCAGTATTGCGACACATTCCGAGCCAACAGACCGGTCTGGCGGACAAGGAATCGATAGGAAACTCGGGAAAGCTTACTAAGGTATCCATCGATATCGCGTTCCATACTGAGCAGTCTGCTGAAGCCGAGGCCGATTGAAAGGCCGAGAAATGCGACAAAGATGTACCCGCATACGTGCATGAGACAGGAACGAAGCGACCGACGAGGTCCTCTGCTGAGCGAGAGCCCTTTGTCGTCATCGCATTCCTCTCGAAGTGTAGAGCTTGGAGAGATGCATGCGTCGCTTTCGCCATCGGTGGCGCCATGCGACAGACGTTGGTACGACGAGATCTTCTTTGTAAAGGGATTGAGGTTCGGCATTACGGCAACTTGCCAATACTCTTGACATGCAGTGTGGAGCAGACAAGAATTCTTCGGAGAATTCACTCGATATTTACATATCAGACGAATATATTAATTCTATTCGTGATGTTGGGGAATGTATTCAGAGCCTAAACGGGTAAGCCCTGGGACACGGGAAGGATCAGCGTAGATTGGGCGACCGGTGGGGAAAGCAGTAAAGACAAGTTGATTTGGTACATGATTAAGCGCTAGACCATTAATTCTCCGCGCTGGGCGCCATGACGCTGCCGTCACCAAGGGGTATCATACAATTTCTCGCCATTCGTAGGGACATCTGAAACTCAACGCCACCGTACCAGCCATGTCCAAGGCCTAGACCACCAACAGTTGGATCGTCGTAGGTTGTAGAGATAGGGTTCGCGGAAGAGAGGCTAATTCAGCTTCTTGTTGCCGACCGTAACCTGTTTGCCCTGGCTGCGCTGGTATTTGAGGAAGCCGAAGACTGCGGCGGCGACGACGCCCAGCATAAGGACGTTACCTATAGTGTTGTTAGTTTCCATATCGACCGAGTGCGCGAGTCAAATGGCGTCAGCCAACTCACCGAGTACGAAGCTAACGATACCGCCAGCAAGGTCCACGAGACCACGGAAGAAGTTAACCACGAGGTCGATCATCTCCAACACGAAGTTGAGAGCGAACTGGACCGTCTTCTGGACTAGCGCGCCGGCAGTGGTGATGAAGGACCAGACGAGCTCGACCATGGACGAGACGAGATCGCTGAGGGCATTGACGATGGAAGACATGTTGGTTCGGTTGGGCTTGTGAGTAATGGCGGGCGAGTGGTGTGGTATTACAGGTCTGAGGTGGAGTAGTTGATGGGAATAGTGGGGTGGTGGAGTGTAAGAGAGAAAGCTGTATTATCTGCCAGATATGCAGTGTTTGGTCCTGTGCGACAGTGCGACAGTGCGGCAAGGCGCGACTTCCGTTAAGACAGATTGATTGCTGCCAAAACACGAGGATGACGCGGGGCCTACGTTGACACAGGCAGCACTTCCTGTTTCACATAGCTGCTGCCGTGGATGTGTAGGCCTGCATCCTGCCCGCTTTCCATGGGAAGCCTGGTTGGCTATTCGGGTGAATAGCCGTTGTTGTGGTGAGATGTGACGTCACGGGTGTAACGTGGGTGAACGCCTGTTTGTAGCCAACGACAGGGGAGCATGACGAATCAGATAATGACAGAGAAGGAGCGAGGCTGATTGGAGGAAGGAGAGAAACAGCGAGTCGAAGAAATCATGAAGGCTCGGTTAAGCTTGGAGAGGTTGGTAGACTGCGAGGAAGATCCATGCCTTGGCTAGTCGCGATGGTCTAGAACACGTGCCTGACAATCTCATGAAGTAAGGCTACCTGGCCTTGAAGAAGAAAGATGTTGCGACAAGGCTGTTCATATTGAGGTCCGTGTTGTTGTTGGAGAGTTCGTCGGCGCTTTTGGGGAGGGTGCAGCCCTGCTTGCGTCATGGCGGCTCGGCTCAAAGCGGAACCTTCGTCGCACCGTGACTTCCTTCGTATCACGGCATCGCGACACAATGTCAGGCACACTCGACAAGCTCCTAGCAAAGGGCAAGGCGAAGCTCTCAGAGTTCACTGGGCAGCCTTCCGGGGGCCATCACCAGCAAGGCCACCCGAACCAAGGCTATCCGGGCCAACAGGGCTATCCGGGCCAGCAGCCTCCCCCGGGCTACCAACAACCCGCTCCAGGCTATCAGCAGCCACCTCAGGGCTACCAGCAGCCACCCCAAGGCTATCCCGCGCCAAATCCAGGACAGTACTCGGGCAGCCAGTATCCTCCGCAATTCCCTCCCCAGAACCAGCAATGGGGGCAGCAGAACCAGCAGCAGAATCAATGGGGCGCACCCCCTCAGCAGCAATGGGGCCCGCCGCCTCCGCAACAGCAGCCCCTCGCACCGCCCGTTCCCCAGGGTAGCAAGCCCCAATCTCCAGCACCTGGCGGCCCCCCGCCTATTCCTCAGAACCGACCGAACTCTGCGCAGCCTCCGCCGCCCCAGAACCTTCCTCCACCACAGGGCCAGAGCGTGTACTGGAAGCCGTCCTTCGACATCAAGACACCCGTGTCGCAGAACTTCCGGCACGAGATCGGCGACCATGGCTGGGGCAACAACGAGAAGCAGATGTATACGGATAAGCCCCAGAATTCGTTCCATCACGACAACCGCCTGATCGTGCGCGCCCTCGTACAAAACGGCAGCTACACCTCTGCGCGTTTGACCTCACACCAGACGCTATCGCGACCGCGCGGATACCTGACAGCGACCTGTCTGCCTCCGTCTGCACCAGGCATATGGCCTGCATACTGGATGCTGCCCGCAGACCCGTTCAAATGGCCGACTGACGGCGAGGTCGACCTTGCCGAGAGCTGGAACGGCGAGACAGAGAACCACTCGTGCCTACATTGGGGCTCCTACACCGGCGAGGATGCACAGAAGCATCGCGTCGTTAAGACCTCCCTTCCAGACCTGGCACGCCAACCACACACCTACGGCTTCGCTTGGATCGAAGAAGAGGGCATACCCGGATGGAGAGGGCGCATGATCTGGTACATCGACAACTACCCAGTTATGAAGGGTTGTATTCCAGAGGGCACACGCCGCATGGAAGACTTTAGGATTCTCATCAACATCGCCATGGGCGGGACCGTAAACCAGGGAAAGCTGCCTGCTGAAGGGTATTACGACTTCGTCATTAGCGATCTCAAGATGTGCGAGGAACCCCATGGCGGATGGCAACAATTCGAACATGCGTGGAACAGCACGCCTGAAGGCAAGGCAATGTAGCAAGGCTTGGAAGCAGCTACCTAGCATATCACCTTTGGGTCTCTGCCCAATATCACTCCGTTATCTGTCACCTTTCTGTTCTTTCACCTTCCCAAAAATGCCCGCCTGTGCACAAGTCGGAATCACGGATTAGGCCGTCGAGGGAAGTCCTAGTCGAATCTAACTAGTTTTTAGAGAGAGAAGGAAGCGCTCTGGCGATTTGCAGAAGCACTGATCTTTTGATATGGCCAGCTACTCCTTCCACGAGTATAACTGCAGGCCGGGTTCATCACATTAACCAGTAGCCCCACCACCTTATTGTCAACTCGATAGCCATAACACGAAGCAGCTCCACTACAGTGCTCAGCAAGCATGACGGCCAACAAGGACGTGGCTTCATTGACTACTTCTCGCCCAAGTAGCTTTATGGACCTCCCTGGCGGTGAGCATCATTCACCTTATTGCTCTATCAGTTAGTGCTAATTTGGCTTCAGAGCTACGGAACAACGTCTACTTGTTTTGCAAGAACGAAGGCATCGTGGACATGAAACGTCCCCAAGACAGCCACACTGGCCTACGGATCGATCGCACCCGCCATCAATTCTTAGGCCTCACTCAGGTCTCGAGGACGCTTCGAAGCGAGTTTGGGGCTTTGTACCGCGAACAACTTCAACTCCGGGTGGACGCACGACACATCTACGAATACCTCGCAATGGTCATTCTGGCATACAGACGATGGGAGGGAGGCGTCAAGACCGTTGTATGCCCGATCTTTGCCAACATCATCCTCGATCTTGGCCCCGGGGTCAATGATCGAAACGATTGCTATTTGGATATCCTCCCGCTGCTGCTAATACGCTCCATGAAACCATCTTTCAAATGTGAGTTCGACTTCTCCACAGAGGTTGACACTACCCACGTTCCAACCGGCCCTCGTCAACCCTGCAGCCAGCTTGTATCAGAAGTATACGGGTCGCTACTCGTACAGGATCTGAACAGTATTCTCAGTGCGCCAAAGACATTAGCAACGGTCCGACCCGAAAATAATAATGTGGATGCCGCGATCCTTTACCTCAAAACTCTGGGTGTGCGAGACCTCAGATTCTATGGAGGCGCTTTAGCAGTAGTCTCGACACCATTTCTCGATCTCTGGCTTACGGCAGACCCTCCCTGGGGCTACAAGCGCGGCACCATCATTCACTCAGCGGGCCTCGAAGCGATGGAATTTCTCGAGAATGCTGGCTTGGCCGATGTCCGCATACTGGACGTCCGGACGAATTGTTGCAAGCCGGAGGATTGGTATGGATGGCTGCATCCTGGAGCGCCCAGATGAGGCACCCAGCGCTAGATCCGTGCTAGCCGAATGGGCTCTAGCGCTTCTCTGTCTGTTTGTTGCAACCTAGGTACTTTACTTTCCTGCATTTTCACCTCCTACCTAAATCAAATGTAAACCGGAGCCAGTAATCGTCTTTTGCATTTGCAGTCGATACCAAATTTGTTCCATCGCTTCAACGCCATCACAATGTCCACTTCGCCGCTCCTGTCGCTGCCTGGCGAAATTCGCAACCGCATCTACGAATACTGCGTCGAACCAAAGGCTATGCAATTGCCACGAATGCCCAAACAACCAGAGAAGCCTTACGAACATGCTCGCTTCGGACTGTACGGCGGCCTTCGCAACGTGTGCAGGCAGATACGTGCAGAATTCGGGTCAATGTACATGGCCAAGACGGTCCTTGTCATCCACCAGGTCACCGCGCACAAGTTCTTCTATTCCTTCTATCCTGGACTGAGGAAACAAAATGGACTTGGAAACGGACTGCTACAGCCGGGCCGCTCGACCGACGAGCTTCCTGTGTCGACTGGCATTCCTGGCGTACAAGGCAACATTCGGATTATCACATACTACGGGCTCCGATACGACGCGAGACTACTCGTACGTCTTTGCGCAAAGTACCCCTCCGTCAAGGTCGCTTTCACAGATGCTAGCGCATGTCTTGATCTTGCGTCCTCCGTCGACGACTTCTTCGCTCACATCTCGTCCGGCGCTTTTCGTCCGCACCTGGAGCTTGTGTTTCAAAGGATCGAGATTACCTGCAGCACCGTGCCTGAGATATGTTTCACCTTCTATTCGAGGGAGATAATGGAAGAAGCAATGAAGCGGGTTGGAGAGGTGGACTCACGGCAGGCTTTGATTGAGATGGGTGCGCCGCCCATGGATGCGTTTGCCATACTTTTCACGGATGCTACGAGCGTGTATAAGCACTCCGCACCGCAGGCTTGAGGCAGACATTGTTTTACGTCTAGTGCCCTCGTATTGGCGTCTAATATTCTCCGGGTCGCATATAGGTTGGCAGTTTGTGCCGTGTTCCTTGCGAGATTCCAATCTCGCAAAGGGACGTGGTTTCTTAGAAGAACTTACCAACTTCCCAAAGCGTCAAGCGCGTTTGCTCGTTGATTACGTATCTCACGTGAAGGTGAAGCCCCGCACCCGTGGACCCCACAGTACATGCAGGTACCCGATAACACGCGCTACCTTATTGCTTGGCAGCCATACCATGGTTCACCTGGTCAGGCGCTTCCCTCTATTTTCACTTCACCACAGACTCTTCTCACGGACAACACAAGCTCGTAGATGGATCACCTACACCTGTACGTCGCCCCTCGCACTCAGCCATGCGGGACTAACTTTGACAGCAGCAACTCAGAAATCGACGGGGAGTATCCGCTCATGGCCTCTGTAGAAGTGCAGATGCGGGGTGTTACCATGAGCGTATCAAACAGTCGCTTTTTGAACCTTCCAGGTGGTGTGTACGTCCTTCCAACTACCCAGAACTTGGCTAATACAGTACCTACAGAACTACGCAATAAGATATACAGCTTCTGCATCGATGCAGACCCCGTTCCACTGCGTCTCCGTCACGATGACCCGATCAAACCGGTAGGAGGATGGCGCTGCTTTACACAGACGTGTCGACAAATCCGAAAAGAGTTCCATATTATCTACATGACTGAAACTGCGTTCCGCCTAGAATCCACTTACCACTACGCCCGATACATCCGCGATTTCTATCCGCCTAGCGACGAGGCCACGATGCTGCGCTACCGCGGCCACATCATCAGTGTAGTTGGGCATAGCCGCGATGAAGATATGGAGGTGGACGAGTTCTACGATGCCGACATCGCCCGCGTCGTCTCGCTTGTCGCGCGCTCACCAAAGGTTCGCTTCACCTTTGAGCTTCAGAAGGATCTAAAGAGATACTCCATCGCGGCAAAGTGCATCGCACAGGTCAACAGTATGCTCTCGATATTCGCTGATTCGTCCAACTCAAAGTGGCGCGACATGGGCAAGTCGATCAAAGAGATGAGACTGAGGGTTCAATTTTCCGACTCTGCACTCCGAATCACCATGGAGCACGACATGGCTAGAAAGTGGAAGACTGCGGTTCATGAGATGTGGAATGAAGTAGCTCAGCCCACGCGTGGCATACGTGAATTTAGGCTCTCATGGCCGGACCCGAACCCGCAGGAGCGTTCATATGGGTATCGACACAAGTTTTGGTTCAGCGACGATGACGATAAGACCAAAAGTTATATTTGGCATTCGTGAGTAGTATGCAGAGGGGGATGGGGATGGGTGATACTTACACGCTAGCTTTGGTTGATAGCTGAGACATGCGCCCAGGCAGCCTGGCGTCGTCTTTGGAACCTATGACAAGGTGTCCTGGATTATCACCCAGTGTTTCATCTTTCACAATGCAAGGGGTTATACTACGACGTCCTGTGTGGTCTGAGGTCGGGTGCGTCGACATGGAAGTAGACGCACTCAGTGCCACGACCTTTCGAAATAGATAGCACTTTACAATATACCTCTACACTCCCGATCTCATGTCCATCTCGACAAATACTTCGTCGGCCGGAGTGGCCAAACATTCTTACAACGCCCCTCTATCGAAGCATGAACATCCAGCCCCTTTCTCTTCATCCAACCCATACTTTCCGCAAACTTATCAACAAATCCCTCGTCGCGAACCATCACCTCGGGAACAATAACCTCGCTCGTAAGCCTCCCAGGTGCCTTCCCACTCTTAAACACGACCACAACCCTCACTATAGTCACGCCGTAGTCAAGATTCCCTCTTCCAGCATGAATCACAACTTCCGCGACATCTCCACTTCCAATGCAAGCCACCCAACGTGCATCATCAAAGCCCAATATAGAATCCAGCTGCACCTTCATCGTTGTAGGCTGCTTAAGATAGCTATGACAGGGCCTAAACGCTATCGACGCTCTTCCAGTCGGATAACTACAATGCCGAATCCGCAGCAAAGGCAGTACATCCAGTCTCAATCGCTCTACCAACGGATCTTCGATAACCAGATCAATGCGACTAGGCACGTGTTCTAGTGGCCTGGAAGGCCCGTAGACGAAGTCAACGTAGCGGAGCCAGGGCTTGATGCTGATAGTGAGCTCTTGTTGGCGGAGAGCTAAAGGTCGGTATTCTTTACGCATTTGCCGGCATACTTGGCTTGGCTTCATCATGCGGAACCAGGCGGATGTGCTGTGGCTCCATGAGCTGTAGAGGACGGGGGATTTGAAGAGTTCGATGGGGCGGTGTTGGGATAGTAGCACGTATTTGTAGATTTGGTTGCGGAGTTCTGGGGTGTGTTAGCTATGTAACTGAACACGAGTTTGTGGGGAAGCGCACCAGCTGGCAGCAGTAAGAGCGGCGAGGCAATGCTCTCTACATTTGTAGTCTCAGTAGAGGTTTTTGGTACATGCCGTCGCTTCTTCATCTTCCTGAACATGTGTAGCAGTTGGCCGTGAATACTCCTTGGCGACGAATGATTGGAGTCGATGGTATCTGGCATTGCGAGGTTCACGGGGTGATCTTTTGATGACATTTCGAATGATTACAGGCGAGAGATACTACATAGCAAGCTGAGCCAGGGTGATGACTCCTCGTAGTTCGTATAGCACACCGAGGCGCAGTTGTGGGGCTAGAGTAAGCGCTGTCCCCAATCGAGCGGACATGCAAGTGCATGGTTAAGCGAAAATCCGGCCATCGACTCCCAAAAGTATCAGGATCACGATTTTGAAGTCCTTGGTTTATTTCTGTTGCAACGATGAATGTAAACGGTGAAGAGGAACGGTGAATGCAAACGTTGTAGGCGACCTAGGTAGGTGACGTCACAGCAAACGCGAGACCCTGAATGTTTACGGTACGTATTTCGCATCCAAAAGAACAACAGCAAAAGCTTCCAACACCATCCGCTTAGCGTCTATCACCATGGATCGCTACACGCCCGAGCTCTCGATGCTTCGCCTGAAGCGACGCCGAGACGACGACGTCCTGTCCAGCAGTCGCCTTCCGCGAGCGAAGAAGGTCGCGTATACTCCAACAGGTATTTTCCACTTTATGCGTCTCTCAGCAGGTCAGTATATATATATCGGAATGTCGCAAAGCGGAAGACTGACATTCATCCAGAGCTCCGCAATCAAATCTACGAGTACGCTGTCGCAGAGGTACCCTCTCAGCTACTCACACCAGTCCATGGACCTCGTGATCACGGCGCCGCAGGCATCGCGCTGACACAAGTCTCCCGCCAAGTAACTTATCATGTGAGACGGATACGAGACATGTACTGATCTAGCATGTCCACGTGTTAGGTACGTTCCGAGTACCGACCAATGTGGCTTGAACGCGCCGAGTTCGTCATTGATTGGCACTCTGTCCACGCATTCCTCGAGAGCTTCTACCCGAACGAAGAAGAGTATGGAAGCGGTCCCAAGAATCTCATCATCCAGTATGAGACGGCTTTCGACTGCACGCTCGATCGACCAACGGAGATCATCCATCTAGTGCGATTGGGCTTGGCCTTCAAGGGACTAGAAGTACGCATTATCCATTTCGATGATTGTGCTCCTGCCGGAGTCTCCATCACCAAGCTGGTACAGTATGGTGGTTTTACACGTCTCGAAACTGAAGACACTGCGCTAGTCAAGGAAGCGAAGCGGAAGTGGCGCGTTGCTGTCCAGGAGTACGAGGTGGAGAGTGTAGCCATCACTATGCAATATCCGGAAGAAGCCGTGGATGTTCAAGTTAAGTTCAGCGAGCAGCTCGCCTCAACGACGGGTACTACCGATCTTGACGGCCTATGGGACGAGATCATGGTATGAAAGGCTCTCCACCAGTATGATGCAGGCACCTCATACAAGGAAAAGTTGAACAGGTCTGTAGACTACATCAAGACAAAATTCTGCAAAGTGGGTAATCCAACGTCAACGTAGGCTCCAGGGTGTTCAGTTTTTTCCTAGGTTGGCGTGGAGGTGAGGAATAGGGCCCCTCCGCACGGGAAGAAAGAAGTAGAACGTAGCCAGGAAGTCGACATTGCCTTTCGGTTCTGTTGATTCTGATCTGTAAATTAACGTAGCCTACGGTGCACATACTCAATTCTACTTTCCAAGGTTTCGTCTGAGGTGCGCGCGTGGCAGGTGGGGCCGCGGGCAATGGACGTTTTGGGTTAGCGCGGGATTATTTGCCTAATCGAACACGAAAGCTCCAGGCACGCCGGTAGGCTCGTCGACTCCTACATGCTCCACGTCGATGAAGGTTTTGAATACGTGATAGCAACACCTTCGCCAATTCATAGATCAGGTTATCGTGTCCTATACCAGCGCTGTTGGCGACGCGCTCGCAGCCATGCGACTCCACGATGCTCCAATCACCTCCGGGTCGACCAATGGACACCACTTCCGCTTCTTAGACCTCGCTGCAGGTATGTTATGAGCACTTCTTCATCTAATGAACGACTTTCACTGACTTCACGCCTCAGAACTTCGGAACCGCATCTATGAATACGCTGCCGAGGCACCGCCGCGCAACATCATACCCAAGCCTGGCAACCCACCCACCATCAGTCTCACTCAAGTCTGCCGACAAATTCGCGATGAATTCAGGAAGATCTACATGCAAAACCTCCCCTTCACAGTCAGAGGCAAGGACATCAAGGGTTTCACGAACGCGTTCTTTGCGTCGGGCCATACGAACCAGCGGGTACTCGATGGGCAACGCCCCACGCGCGTCATTTACCTTTATCCGCCTTTGAGGAATGTGGACATATTACCTCTCCTGGAAGTTAAGATAGCGTTCCCGCAAACCGAGATCACCGTCATCCCCGATCCTGCAGATATCGAAGAGCATTTCTATCCCCCGTACGTTTGTGAGCTCATAACGCACATCCTCGAAAATACGTCGCCTGCATTAAGACACGACGTCCAAGCATCCAAGATCTCTGAAATCTGCTGTCATGAAGTTTGTAGATCCTACTTGTGGTACAAGCCGGGGCATGTACCCCACGGTGTGGATATGACATTGGACCGGGAAGGGCAAGCTTACTTAGATCAGATGAGAGAGCTCTACAACATGACAGGTTTTGAAGACTGGTCTGGGGGTTATCATGACGTTGCATTTGAAGACACAGATGTGCGCAATTTCACCAATTCGAGCCGGAAGATGTAGAGAAAGAATAGAGTCAGCGAGTGATCAGATTGGGCGTCGATATCTCACGCTAGCTTGCGGTCACACATTGTAGCATCATCTTCAAAGACTTCTACAGATTTAAAGTACTTGTATAGATAGTATCTAAAGCATACAGATCACGTAGCTTGCGGCTTTCTTCGCAAATCATGTACTTGGGCGTATTTCACTCTTAATCACGTGGAAACACGTGAATGTGGATCGCATTACCTAGGTAGGCGACTACCTAGTTCGCGCAACGCTAACAAGGGTCACTCTACCGTTGTATCTTCGCATCCAACCGACTGCATCATCTCTCCACTACGTTCTCACAATATACACCCCCGGCACAGCTTCAGTCCCCTCCCAAAATGGCCCACGACCCTGTCAGCAGGCGCGACCGCGGAGATCACTTTCGTTTCCTGGATCTACCAGCAGGTAGGCGCGAACCTCTCCAGGCAGAATCTCAGGGCTAACATGTGTGTAATAGAGTTGCGCAATCGTATCTATGACTTCGCTGCTGAGACCGAAGCCAACCAACCTCGCTGCGTACTGCCATGTCTTGCGCTTGCGCAGAGCTGTCAACAGCTTCGTACCGAGTATCGATCTATCTGTCTGAAGCGAGACATCGTCATCGATTGGAAGGCGGTTCCCGGTTACATGCGCACCTTCTTCCCCACCGTCAACGGCAAGATCGAGAATGTTGAGCTTGCACCAGCGAACATGACCATAGTCACTCCATGGCGCGGCAAGGCGGAGGATACGGGTGATGAGCTTGACTTACTACCGTTGGTCAAATTTGGCCTCTGTAGACCAAACTTCGCCTGTCACTTCATCCACGACACGAAAATCCTGGAACGTGCCGAGAAAGAGGCAGATACAAATCCACATAGTGATGGACGTAATTTCAGAGGCTACATCAATGAAGACACCGAGGCTCTAGAAGGGATGATGCGCAGTCGTAACCCAAATTGGCTGTCCGATATCGAAACCGGTGTTATTACCAAGCTCGTTGCTTTCAATCTCGGCGTTAGCGATCCGCCGCAAGCAACGTTCTACATGAAACCGTCGTCATCCGCCTGGAAAATGTATGATGAAAGCAACGAAGAAAACATGTTCATGGAGTTCTACTTCGAACGTATCGGTGTCGATGAAGTTTGGGGAGTCGTCAGAGAATTTGAGAGGTTTCCTGAAATAAAGTTTGAGTGATCAGAGGCTTCGACATGAGAGTTCACTTAGGCGGTTTGGTATCAGTTAGGAGTGCAAGAATGCACACCATCATGGTTGCTGCTATGCAGATGTCAGAGTCGTCTGCTCCAAGATATCTCAAATTGTACTAGCATTGGTTTGTCCAAAATCTTTGTCTAGTTCAACTACGCCTACACGTCGGACAAGGAAGGAATTAATCACGGTGACAGTTGCGCTGCATTACCCGCTACTTAGGCAGTGTAACATTAAAAGTTTAAACAATCCCATAGCAATTCAACCCTCTAGTCTATCTAACACTTTTCTATTTGGTAGGTGTTAAGACCTTTCATTTGATCGAGTGCACGCGCAACGCAGCCTCCGATGTCGTTTGCTCTCACCACGGACCACCACGCTGATGACTGCCCCCAACTTGCCGACTCTCCTTCTTTCTAACCCCGCAATCTCATCTACTGGATAACTACCGGACCCTGCTAAGAAACTCGAATCAATATCTACAGCATTGTCGCTAGTCAACATGAGAACGCGACGCTCACTCCCCGAGCCCTTCCGCTTCCTCGACCTGCCTGCAGGTGAGTTCATTAGATCGCAAAGCCTATCGCAATAACACTGACGTCATTGCAGAACTTCGCAACTCCGTCTATGAGTTCCTGACTGCCGAATCCGAAGGCTGCGTCCGGCGATTCGCTCTAAAAACGAAATCACCTTCGCTCGGTGCTAGCTCTACTCCCGCTTCAATATCTTCACTCGCACACGTGTGTCAAAAGTTGCGTAAAGAGTTCCTCTCGCACCTCTTTGCCACGTTGGAAGTCGGTCTAGACTGGTTGGATGTTGAGTACTTCTGTCACACGTGGCGGTCCACCCGCCCGCCGAAGTCGATCACCGTATACATTGACGAACACATCTGCAATGAGCCTCCCATTCCAAAGCCGCAATTTGGATGTGGGTCCTGGACCGCTGAGGAGATTGCTGCTGAAACGGCGGATATATTGCAAGGCATTATCCACGTGCGCCGACCGCGCCGAGTGCTACATCCGTCGCTCAACCTCCTTCCGCTACTGCAACTGCGACTCCTGCGTAGAGACTTCATCTGCTGGTTCGTACTAGATCCGAAGGTCGACTGGAATGCTGTGAAAGAGAAGTATAACAGCGAGGACACACTGACTGACGAGCGCGTCGCTACAGCCGTCCAGGACCTCGCGCAGTTGATGGTCTTCGGTAATGAGCCTTGGACGCAGTGCATGGAGAGGAAGCTCGATGAGGTTCTACTTCACCCATGGTCAGACTGGACAGATCTACAGATCGAACTCGTGTTCAAGGAGCAACCAAACGAATTCAAGACCCTGAGCAGCAAGACACGACGCTGTTATTTGCCTGATCTGCGTGGGGCAGGACTGCGAGAGTTCTACGCGACAACCGGCCTGACATTCAACATGAGCATGTCGTCTTCTTCTCCAAAGCCAGACTGGGAAGAGAGTCCTCGATTACGCTAGGGGCCATAGAAGCCATTATGCCGCTATACCCCACTCCATTCTGTTCCCTACCTTCCCACCACCGACCCACCACCAAACCCAAACGTAACATCCCTCCTCAAAACCACCATCTCAAAAGTCGTCTTGCAGCTCCAAGTCCCCGGTCCCCACGTCTTCTTCCGCACCTCCTCATACCCTCTCTTACGCCAATACGCGCCATTGAGACACTCCGCGGCCAGGATCCAAAGGTTCAGCACGCGTTGGCCCTGCAGTCCCTTTTGTTCGAGCTGAATGGTCTCTCTCACGATGAGATACTGCTCTAGGAAGTTGAGCAGCTGGATAGCAAGACCGCGGTGGTGGTACTTCGAATCCCCATCGACACACACGATTTTGATCTCCCAGCCTGTTTCTGTGTCTGCGCACTCTTTTTCCCAGCCGCCTTTCCAGGGTACGAGGGAGGCGCATGCGACGACTTTCCTGCTCTGTTTGCCATCGATGCTGCTGCCTTCGCCACTGATGCTACCGTTTCCGCCATCGATGGCACCGTTCTCGTTCGCGCTCGCCGCATCGTCAAAGATCAATGCGATAACGCTGCCCGCCCCACTAAGCAGCATATGAAGCCCCTCTTCATCGCTAAAGCGCGATTCCGAATTATCCCATTTCGCCGTATCCCGTTCATACGAACGATAGAACGCGTCGTTGACGAGTTGGGTGATGGATTTCGATAGGGTTGGATTCGATTTGAGATCCGACGGTGTGAAAAGCGTTGGTGGGGAAAGGTTTGTTGCCATCATGCGGGTAGAATGAACCATTCAATTACTTTTGACCGGTTTAGAAATTCAGGCTTTGGTGGAGAACGCTTTTTCATTATGGGGAACGCCATTGAGTCATTACGTGCGACAGGGCTTGGAGGTTGAAAGTGCTCCCCAGGCCGTGTGCGAAATTCCAGGTGCCCGCCTCATCGGAATCGGAATGGCTGGGTCATTAATTCCGAACAAAAAGTAGCGAGGATGCACCTTCTTCTTTCGGCTAATATGTGATGGGTCTAGAACCTACTTGACAATTTCGTCTCGAGGTGTATATCATTTGACGTCTTCGTTTTTCTGACGTTCGATGAAATTCGATGTGAATGGCATGATTCGGCCGCATGCCGAGGTTGCAGCACGCTGATGTAAGTCGTCATGATCGAAGCCGCATCCGCAAGGTCACCAACATGGGTAGAAGCGAGCGTCACAACACCTTAATTGTTAGTCGAGAATGATGACAGGAGTGTACACGAAGCTTTTTTAAGATATGAATATATTGATGCATTTGAAAAATGCTTCTATAGTAGCGCCAGAGGGCGGAAATGGTATCATAAAGCGACATTACAGCGACGCTGCAAGTACAAGGAAAGACGAGGAAATTTTTGCGCGATCTACGCGATGCTTCATATCGTGCGTGGGTATAGGTCGACATAACGGTCTGAGCATTAGCATGCGCGGCACGCTTCAAGACCACGACTGCCAACTTGGCTTTTTCTGACTTGAACCGCGTGGGGGGTATGGCGACTCCCGCGCGGTTGGCGGTGGTGGCATGGGAGTGGGACTTCTTTCCCTCCTGGATTCTTGGCTTATCGCCGTACCGGGCAGGGGAGTTATGGGTAGCCTCTTCTCTGTGGGCGAGAGAGGGTGCGATGCCAGAGGAGCAACGCTTGCTGGCGACGTTGGCGATGCAGGTGACATGGGTAGTGGAGGGAGTGCCTCCAAGTCGTGCCCTTCGAAGAGATGAGTCGATCGCATGCTGGATGCTCGCGAGTTGTGGCCTGTGGTGTAACGACCAAGCTCGATGTCCTCGTAATCGCGGTCGCAGATCATGTCGGCTGTCATAGTTGACACAGGGCGGTCAATGCCAGTGGGTGTCGGCATCGCCGAGCTGGTTGGCGACATGGTCACTTGCACCTCTTTGTGCACATGCACACCTCCATGCGGGTCGACAGTGGTACCAAGGTGAGAATCGTAATATCCCTTGGTGCTGTTGGCCCAGCTTCCGCCTGTAATGCTCGCACCGAACTTCCTCCACGAGTTCTTCGACTTGGTGTGCGCACTATCCTGGCGATCATCGGTACCAGCTGGTGTTCTTGTCTTGGATCGCTGACTGAGCTTTTCCTGGAAGAAATGTTTGAAGAAGACCTTCATGGCGGGCGCATTGGCGCATAAGCATCCGATGTACAGCTCGAGCATGCAAGTAAGAAACAGATTCCATGTGTGCCATGTCACGTCGTAAGTGCCATAGAAGGTGTACCAGCTGTAGTAGGCTCGCACAGCTCCCAGTGCGACGACACCGTAACCCATGGCAAAGATACCGAACAACGCCAGCTTTTGTCGGATCGGTATCTGAAGATTCCAGTAAAGGAACGTAGGAAGAACGGCAGTCAGGGCGTCTTGGGCGCAGGATATGATGCTGGCAGCGAAGACGTCGGCACCTTCGTCGAAGCAGTGGAACTCGTAACCTTGTAACTTTTTGATGATGTTTACTTGATCCCAGAATGCTGAGATGGGTTGGCAGCCCAAGATAGGTGCCAAGGTCAAGGCAATGGTGTAGGCGATGATGAAGCCGATAGTGGCCCAAGTCACCCATACGAATGTCTTCGACACGGCGCGGGCCGAGAGGCGTCGGTAGAAGAGAAGAATGGAGACTTTGACGAGGCCAGTTGCAACACAGAAGACACATTCGGTTGCGAGTACGTATTTCCGTGCGTTAACGATGATTTCCGGTTCGAAGAGATAGTTTAGGTCCCAAATATGTCGGTCGAATGCTTGGTTGGTTGCTGAGAAGCATTAGCTAGATAGCAATGGACCGGTTTGAGATCCTACCTAGGGGATATATGACTGTCAAGGCGATAACTGGAGGCTAGGATTGTTAGCGTAGCCATGATGAGTGATCACTGATAACTCACAAGGGCAGCTAACATCAACCAGTCGTCCCAGCCGGGACATCGTTGATGAAAGATTCTGACCCATAACCGTACAAGAGTCATAACGACGGTAATAGGTCCAAGTACACACGCAATCCACAGGACGGCGTTTGGTCGAAGTGTAGGGTTGACATAGTTTGGTGTTGGCCAACTCAGTTTGACCTCGATGGGGGGGTTTATGCCACCAGGCATGATGAAGATGATTCGTTAGGTTGTGTGGTGCGTGGAACGTTGTCAAAGTTCGAGACAGTTGAACAACGGCTTTTCGAGTGAAGGGATGCCTACCATTTGTGCATGGTGGCTTTTGAAGTACCAAACCTGTTAAATGGGAGAGGAGCATGGGGGCGTAAGACATCCGCCAGGGCTTGACAAAAGTGGGCCGACCACAAAAAACAATTCCAATGGTCGACCAATACAGCGTTTGGGAACGATGACCGTTAAGGTGCGCATAACGGCAGTCGAGAGCTTGCCCGGCTATGTACCCACCCGCATATACGAGCATCGACGCGGAGATGGGATATACTCCGTAGACGATGAACCGCGTGGTCGTTGTTAGTCTAGGATACTGATCGGTGAGAAATAATGATACCTCTTGTGGTACTGTTCAACACGACTTCGAGTCCCGGCATTAATGTGCCCATTATGCGTCAGTGATCTCAATTGGGAGTATAGAGCGGACTTGCTGCAGTGAGTAGCAGTTGCTGTTCACGCTTTGCCACACTCCTGTTTTGAAACCTGGAATGGCCTTTTACGTCGAATTACGTTGCATGCGCGTATACTCATGATCCTGGAATGATCAAGGGACGTTGACAGAATTCTAGTGGCCGGTAGTGGACCCGAGAATTCTACCCTGCTTGACCACGACAACGTATTGGAGTTTGACGAAACGCGAGTCCGACCTTGAGTTTCCTCGCGTACGGGTTGTCAAACATGCGTAACCGACAGGGCTCGAGCCAATCTGCAGCGGTCGGGCGCTCCCGCCACGGTGGTCCCTGTCAAGAATCTGTCCGGAGTGGCGCCTTTTCGATCGATACCATCTGCGTCGTACGTGATCGTGTCGGCTATCGAGCTCAATTCTCCCGCAGCCGTGACCGGTGTACGATGAAGTGGTGTCGAGGACCCGTTTGTGACAAGTTTGCATACGGTGGCAAGTGTATGCAGTCACCTCCGAATTGGGAACACTAGAAGGATCAGCGGCTTCGCAGCATCTGTAACGATGTGAAATGGAAAGGTCCGAGAATTAGTCGCGGAGATGACAGGAGACGCAGTATGCCGTCATCCCCCATGCGCGATGATTCGCCCACGTCCACAATGCATGCATGGTGTGTTCTAAGATTGAAGGTAAGGTAAGAGAATTTGAAGCAAAAAAGTAAAGACGCATAGGTCTGGAGCTGTCAGGTACCGGTCAGAGTGTGCGTTCGTACCCCCGGCTTGTGTGCATCAAACCTTGGCGTGGTGTGGTGGGGTGCGGGACCGGAAGGTGGGGGCGGGTGGATTCTGGAGCGAAAGCGGACGCGAGAAACGCAACAGCGGCATGCCTACCTATGTAGGATAGAGCGCTGCGATGAAGTCGCAGTGATAGTCGAGAGATACCTGTTTCCGCGGCTACAGCGTAGGCGTTCAGCCCGAAGGGCGTTGAAGAGAGGGGTTACGCCCGTAGGACGCAAAAATAGTCGCGGAATCAGGATGGCAGCCTCGCCCTAGTACCCAAACAGCAACGCGCTCTGTGAGCATCTAAGCGACTGAAGCTTCACGATAGTTGTTGCATCGTCCTAAATCCTACAGCGCCCTTTTGTTGTCTCCGCGGGCAGTAACTGATGCAATTGTGAGTCACTCAGAGGGATGAATGATAAGCGTAGTCTACATGCATCCAGATATAAGAGTCTGGTGTCGACGATGATGCCCGTAAACACCCAAAGCACTGCGTACCTTCCAAGTTTTCAATATGACAACCTCTGCCTCGTTCAATGACGCTTTTGAGTCGGCAGTTGCATCCGGCCCTGAGCGCCTGCTGCCCGGTGTGGCTCTCGGTGCTGCAAGAGCACTTCGAAAGGGTATGGTCTGGTTTTGCATGTTTTCTTTTGCCAAAACACTTGCCAGGGCAGTTGAGTTTAGCGTGCGTTTGAGAGCGGCACGTTGAGATGGACTGGGAATATGCGACGGAGCCGTCGGATGCTCGCAGCCGTTCGCACGGTCGGCGACCTCGCTTGTCATTTGTGTTTCTGTTACATGGCCTACAGTTCGCGGCTAACGTGATTCACAGCTGCTACTTCGGAACCAGATGACTTTCTTGCTGCATTTGGCACACTGCAGCTTGACTCCACGTCGCCACCAGTATCGACGAAGACGACCGTATGGCTGGCATCTTGCACGAAGCTAGCGACGGCTATCGCAGCCTTGCAGTGCGTCGAGCGTGGGCTGTTTTCGCTCGACGAACCCACTGACACCGATCGTTTACTGCCTGAATGGAAGAATTCTGTTGTCCTGACTGGCTGGAACGCTGATGAACCTATCTTACAACCTGCAAAAGAAAGGTTGACATTGCGAAGATTGCTGACGCATACGAGCGGAGTCGGCTACGACTTTCTCGCGGCTGACCTCGTGAAGTGGAGGCAGCATCGCAACGAAGAAAGTCTCTTCATGCGCACACCTATTACGCAGTGCTTTGCGACACCTCTCATCTTTGAGCCCGGCTCCGGCTTCGCATATGGTGGCGGGCTGGAGCTTGTGGGCTTGATGATCGCGAGGGCCAACAACTGCACGCTGGAAGCATACATGCGCCAATACATCTTTGATGTGTTGGGGATGGATAAGACTTCCTTCTACGTCAAGCACAACAATATCGAGCAGGAGTTGATGCCGATGACCACCCGTCTTGCACCTGATGCAGCTCTCATACCTGGCAACCCACCAGATATGCCACTGGCACAGCCGCTGGATCCTCAAGATGAGTTCGGTGGCGGAGGTTTGTTCGGCAATACCGAAGACTACCTCGCACTTCTAAAGTCGCTTCTCCGGAACGATGGCAAGCTTCTCAAGTCGGAAAGTATCGAGCTCTTGTTTGCTCCATGTATACCACCCGCGGCGCAGGAGTCGCTCGATCAGACGCTGTCCGTCCCAGCCTACGCTGCCATCATGATTCCAGGCGATGCTCCGTTTGGCACTCCTGGTGCGCGGAAATGGTCTCATGCTTTGGGCGGTCTAGTAGCACTCGAAGATGATGCCGAAGGAGGCTTGAAGGCTGGCACCTTGCGATGGGGAGGTGCACCGAATCTGAAGTGGTGGATCGATCGCAAGGGCGGTACTTGCGGCATCTTCGCAACGCAGCTTTTGCCCGCTGGCGAAACCCGACACGCGTACCTGGGCAAGATGTTTGAGAGAGCGGTAGCTGCGATGTAGATGGCAGATTTGCTATGAGTGCTACTACGGGTCAGGCATATGAATGGGCATCAATGGCAATGGCATCTTCCCCTATTGCGACGATTTCTCTATTGAGGACCACGAGGTGCCCCACTTGCATGAGGCGCTACGTATGCACGGTGATGACAATGGCCTGCGCCGCTGATTACCCAGCAGATTCTGCCCATGACGTAGGCGAACTTCTGTTTCCGCCGGCAAACCTCTTCTCTGCGCTCAACTGACCTGCCCAATCACGATGAAGGACAGCTCTGACCGCCTTCGCACAATCGGCTAGCGGTGGCTTACTCACCTTCTGTCCGCCGGATACGGACGCTGGTGTCGGCAATATTCTCGCCATGTCGCATGGAACAGATGCGGGAGATGTGCAGGTGAGCAAATCTTTCGCTCATGACGGCCACGCGCGCCAGATACTTAGGGCGACGGGCAGCTGTCAAGCGATTGAACGATTGAAGCTTGTTCATCGCCATTGACAGCACCCGCGTCCATCTCCCGAAAACACGGTCACGACTAGTCGTACCGTCGCGCGTTAGATCCACACGATCCACAACGGCCTCGTCGTCGGGCTGAACATTTACTATTATTGTTCCGACAGCCGAGCGCTGGCAATTTCTATCGCTTTCCAGCGCGACAGCCACTCTCACAACCTTGGTCGAGGAAAGAGGAGATTGCGATCAAGATGCAGAACGAAGACCTGGATATCCTGCGCAATGAGGCGAACGCAAGCCCTGAGCGCTTCGCAAATTGGGACCCGCACCGCCAGTTTCGCGAAGAGTACCACAGACGGCACTTGCATGACCAGACACCTGATGAGCGCCTGCGCAACATCGAAGCACACGAACGAGGAGAGCGCACCCAGAGCGAGATATCCTTCCCAACAGAAGCAGTAGCATCACCCATCAGAGAAAAGGAAGAGGAGGTTGCCTCGCCTCTCTCACGGCACAGCACATCTTCGGCTTCGACTGTTAGCTCTGCAAGCTCTGCATCCACACATAGCGCACGTCTCGAAGAAATACGCACCGCCCGCTCAACCCCCGCACGCGACCGCCGACCGACCGTCAATTCGCAGGCCTCGAGCGGCAACTACCTGACACTACATCCCACTGAACGCAACCCCGAAGCTATCCGCCGAATCGAGACACACAGAAGTCAGCATGCAGGCACAGTCGGTGCATCGCGCGTCGATTCGCGGTTATCGAGGACCCTCACACGCCGTCGTACAGAGAAGCCATTGCCGAACCTAGGAGCTGGCAAGCCTTTCCCCCCGCTGCTACCGGACAGGGAAGAATATGTAGTCGAGTTCGACGGCGTCGACGATCCGCTGCATGCGCAGAACTGGCCGATGAAGAAGAAGATTGGCATTGGTGCTATCCTAGCATTCGACGCCCTCACAGCCACCATGGGTAGCAGTATCTTCTCGGCCGCTACAGGAGCAGTATCGCAACAATACGGTGTTGCCAATGTTGTGGGCACTCTAGGAACGAGTTTGTTCGTTTTTGGATATGCCTTTGGACCTTTGGTAAGTGAACGCTGACCATAGACTGCGGTCAGATATGCTAACAACTTCTAGATGTGGGCACCTTTCTCGGAGCTGTATGGCCGAAAACCTCCCCTCATCATCGCCGCCTTTGGTTTTGCCATCTTCAGCATCGCCGTCGCCGCAGCCAAAGATATCCAGACCATCATGATATGTCGATTCTTCGCCGGTCTCTTCGGCTCCTCTCCTCTCGCTATCGTCGCCGCCGTCTTCGCTGATATGTTCGACAACAAACTCCGCGGTCTCGCCGTCGCAGTCTTCTCCGCAACCGTCTTCATGGGCCCTCTACTCGCACCCTTCATCGGAGGATTCATCACCCAGAGCGATCTTGGATGGCGGTGGACCGAATACATCAGCAGTTTTATGGGCTTTTTGTCATTCGCTCTGCTCTTCTTCTTCATGGAAGAGACATACCCGCCTGTCGTGCTGATCAACAAGGCGAGCGAGCTGAGGAGACGAACCAAGAACTGGGGTATCCACGCCAAGCAGGAGGAAATTGAAGTCGACTTCAAGGAGCTGATCGTTAAGAACGTCAGCCGACCGATGCGCATTCTCTTCACCGAGCCTATTGTACTGCTCATCACCATCTACATGAGCTTTATATGTAAGTTGGATCACCCCGTCTTGTTACAAGAACTGAGCTAACAATTCTAGATGGTTTACTCTACCTCTTCCTTACCGCATACGCCCTCGTCTTCCAAGGCGTCTACGGCTGGAGTCCCGGCATCGGCGGACTTGCCTACTTCGGCATGGTCGCTGGTGAAGTGATCGCTTTCATCATCATTGTCGTCGACAACCCACGATACATCAAAAAGCTGGAAGCCAACAACAACATTCCCGTCCCAGAATGGCGCCTACCCATCAGCATGGTCGGTGGTGTGCTCTTCGCAGCCGGTCTCTTCTGGTTCGGATGGACAGGCTACACCGGCAATGTTCACTGGATCGTCCCTGTCCTGAGCGGTCTCTTCACCGGCTTCGGAATCTTTTCCATCTTCCTCTCGCTTCTCAACTACATTGTCGACGCGTACCTTATGTTTGCTGCTTCCGCTATTGCAGCAAACACCTTTATGCGGTCCATGTTTGGTGGAGTCTTCCCACTATTCGCAACCTTCATGTTCAATGGTATGGGAATCCAATGGGCCAGTACACTGCTTGGCTGCGTGGCGCTCGTACTTGTACCGATGCCAGTGGTCTTCTATGTATTTGGTAAGAGAATCCGAGGCAAGAGTAACTTTGCACCTGCGCCAGATATCGCTCAAGACAAGAGGAGAGATGAAGAGAGCAAGGGAAGCGAAGGTGTTGAAGCGGGAAGTGGTGAGACGACCGAGCGGGAGAGCCTGGACAGGGCGAGGAGTAAAGATGAGTAGAGTTCTCATCGTGTTTCCAATTTCTTTTCATCTGGGCTTAGCGAGCACATATACCTTTTAATTTCAACCTTTCACCCTAATCAAATGTTTGAAGAGCTAGAACAATGTCCATGATTAGGAATACACGACGCAGGCAACGGGTATAGCTTTCCTGCATTCAATGAATAACAGACATGGTATCAATTCCTTTCCTCTATCCACTACACATCTATGGCAGTACATACCCACCGTCAATAATACAATCGCTTCCTGTCATATAACTCGACGCATCACTACCCAAGTACAAAAACAACCCCTTAATCTCCTTGACATTACCCTGTCTCCCCAGCGGAATCATCCTCAGCCCCTCATTAATTACCTGCGGCCCAGCCCCCATCTTGGTATCAAAGAACCCCGGGCTCACAATATTCACCCTCGCAAACTCCCTCCACTCCCTCGCCAGCGACTTGCCCAAATGCGAGATAAACGCCTTGGTACCGTTGTAGATGGGTTGGTCGATGGGTACATTAACAATGTGCGCGGAGATGGAGCTGGTGAGGATCAAGTTGCCAAATCCCTGTTTCTTGAACACCTCGCCGGCGTACTTGGCGCAGAAAACGGGGCCGTCGACGTTGACTTTCATGAGGTTGTGGTAGCTGTCGAGGGTTTGGTCGAGGAGCGGCTTGCTGTCTCCTGTGCCGGCGTTGGCGACGAAGACGTCGATGCGGCCGAAATCCTCAACCACTTGTTGCACGGCTTTTTGGACTGCCTCGGCGTTGATCTGGTTCACGCTGTAGGCTTTTGTCTTTACGTTGTGTGTCTTTGCGAGGTTCTCAGCGCGTGTTATGGCGGCGCTGTTGGAGTTGTACCACAGGGCTACGTTGCCGCCTGCTTCGGCCATGGCGTCGGCTACGGCTCCACCGATTCCTTCGGCTGCGCCGTTGACGACGATGACTTTGCCTTTCATGCTGAATTGTTGCATGACGTTTGTGGGTGTGTCAGGGACGGGTTTGGGGAAGCCGGGGCGTGGCGCCTGGCATTCTTCGACGGACATGGACATTTTGACGGTTTGGAGGGAGAAAGATATGCTGCAGAAGCTTGTCAAAGAGTTGTGAATTACGCAAAAAGACGAGTTACTTGCTGTCTTGTATAGTAAGAAGTCGGAGTCGGAGGTCTTCGACTTATGTATCTAGACGCGTGAAATTAGGCGGAGGAAGGTCTGCCGAGTGAGGCTCAAAGGCCGCGACTCTGACAGTGCAGCTCTTACCCCGCCGAGCAAAACATGGGATGGCATTGCGTCACGGGGTGGTGTTGCGGGGCAAATCTGGAGGACTGTCGTCCGGATGGGGCGGGATGGTTCCTGAATTGGGATGGTGCCCGTTGCGCTCGGCTTACCTTCCTTCTGAGCAAGCGGCTCGTACCGTGTCTTCTACCGACTGCGTTGTTCTTTTGTAACTTCCTTCCACGATACTTTGCTGGGTGTTGAGTGCGCTTTGGCTCGGCTGGAATCTCGGAGTTGTTGTTAGACCTTGAGATGCAGAGGATCAGGTAGACCACCACGATTTTATCGCCTCTCATCAACTCTTTCGCCGGGCGCTGCCATGACACGTCCTTTGCGGCAACCGGATTCCATTCTTCGCACGGCAGTCTGCTTCTGTACGCTATGAACTGTCACTGTTGCGCATCGTACTAGATACGGTAATCTGGAGTACGAGGAGGACAACAACGTTCACGTAGCCTCGCACACGACGATGAGGTAGCAGTCTACTTCGCTCAAGACCTGAGCATACTCTTCGGTAACTTTCTTCAGTCAGAAGCCTTCAGTATGAGACGACGAAGCAAAAGAAGGCTATAAGTAAGGCAGTTGTTAGGGTGTCGAGATGTGTACTACACTGCAGTTCTAGTGTAGCCGGTGCGACTGGATGAGGCAGGGAGATCTTTCACGTTCATGCTGCACTCGCCAAAGCACACTTCAAACTCTGTCACATCCATCGAGCCTCTCGGCGAGTTGTCATAGTCCACTATATTAGGCAACGCAGGCGGTCGGCAAGGAACAACTTGTGGTTTGACGGGGTATTACCAAGGAACCGTGCTCACCTTTACCTTTCTTCACTATTAAAGAGCACGACGAGCCTGTGGGCTTAGCGTGCACGGTCTGCCGCTAGCTGGCTCCGGCCGCAGGCTCACAACAAGCTTCCAAGGTTCCAAAGTTGCTTTTCGAACTACACTGTGGACACACGACCCTACATCGGACTTGAAAACACCAGCACCACCCATCAACGCAAGGGTTCGCAAAGATGGTCTTCAGATTCTTAGATCTCCCAGCAGGTACGCAATCCCCGTCTTTCACTCTATTCACTTGACTTGCACATCAGACAGCGCTGACCTCATGCAGAGCTGCGCAACCGCATCTACGAGATCGTTGCGGCAGGCAAGGACGAGCCGCTGTCTATATCCCAACTACTTTTTAGAGAAGACGGCAACTATGCGGGCCTTACGAGAGCTTGTGCTCAGATTCGAGCTGAATATCGGCCAATGCAGCGTCGCAGGGCCAAACTTTCCGTGGACTTTTCAGACCTTGATGACTTTACTCGAACCTTTCTCACTTCATCCGCGGATATGATGATCCTTCCTCTTGAGGTTCACGTCCGTGTATCTCTCATCAAGCCAGGACGGACTCTTCATTTCGACTCACTTCCAATCCTCAAAGTCAAAGTCGAGAACCCCCGCTTGGATATTAGAATCGTGATCGCTACTGTCCAAAAGGGGTTCCGTGTCAGAGGCGGTGGCCCGCATGACGCGGCCGCTCTAGCAACTATCGCCTTGACGCAAGCACAGGACCTGAACTCGCTGCTCCTTCATTCAAACAAGGACTGGCACGCATGTATCAGCAACGGTTTCATTGGCGAAGTCTACATACAGATGCAACGCGGGCTTACACAGGTTGAGATTGTCTTCGTGGGTAAGCTTGGTTGGAGGGAAATACCTAAAGAAATAAGAGCCTCCGAGGAGTGGCTTATCTCTCACGGCCTGCAGGCTTCGGCATCACATAGTCATCGCATCAACGTCACTTTCCTTCACTCCGTGGAATAGTACTGGAGCTTTCATTGAATGTTATTTCCCTGACGTAAATGGTAAACAGAGAGATACAGAATGCAATCATCCATTGCCCACTACGTAATAAGTAAACTGTCAGTCCACAGGTGACTCACCGCTCTCTATAGGTCATAGCGCTACTGCCTGGGCTCACGTGCGGGTAAACTAATTCCTGCCTTCGCTTACAACGAGTCGCTACCTTCGCTATCAAACTCTCGATAAGCCACCACGTTTACATCTGACTCTCCGTCAAATACTACCGTCTTCCAAGTTACCCATTCGCTTCAAGAGTACCAAAGTCATCATGACCTTTCGCTTCCTCGACCTCAGCTCGGGTATGCTACTTCCCTCATTCTGGATCGCGCGAGAGGAGCTACTAACATTGTTTAGAGTTACGCAATATGGTGTACCAATTCGCATCAATCAACGACGCATACTTCTCTATCCGACATGATCCCTCTCTTCAGTCCAGCAACTACGCTGCGCTCACAAGAGTGTGTGTCCAGATTCGCCGAGAATACCGTCCGATCCAACGTCGCAAGGCTAAGGTTTGGATCAGTCTTGCAGATGTCGACCATTACGCTCGGACATTCCTGAGGACAGCCGAAGACACCATGTCCCTCCCTTCTAAAATACGCGTCAAGGTACCATTCACGTCAACCTCCGACTTCGGTTCAGACTTCAGTATCATTTCGGTTATCAAGCTTAAGGCTGCCCACCCTGGCCTAGACTGCAAGTTGGTGCACGCCACCATTAGGAACGACTCGGCTCTCGCGCAAAAACACATGTTCTTCCGGGCTATGAACAAAGCTCGTGATCTTAACGCACTTGTTTTTCATGCGAACAAGAAGTGGCTCGAGGATATTAGCAACGGTATTATCGGAGATGTGCTGATCGAAACCAGCACATGTTTTGTTCAGAATGGATCAATTTGTATCTGCTTTACGGGTGTCCACGCCCTCGAGAACTACAGAGAAGCAACCAGCGCGCCTAACGCTTGGCGCAGCGCTCGCGGTCTTGACCTCCCACTATCAAACGGTCATCATGTTGCACGGTTGTTTCTTGCACCTGACTCACTTCGGCGAGGTTGAAACACCAGTCAACCCAAGGTTACAAGCGTATCGCCTGATGAGCATGCGTTCCCGAGTATGTAGTAGAAGAAGTCAATGATAATTCGATTCAACCAGCTAGTTGCCTGACCATTTCATGTTCCAAAAGATTTCTTTATCTCCCAGAGGCTATGAGCAGGTCGGTGCTCACTGTACGCCGGTTCAGAGTCTGGTAGAGCTCGCGTAGTCAATCATCTTTCGTGAGCGCTCCTCCCCGCTCACTTACCATATTGCTCTACGCGAACTTTTGTGCTAGCGATACTTCTTAGTCGAGAAAACCGAATTGGGTGGGTATGATATAGATTTCGGACGTTGTGATTCGCTAGTCTGCTCCGCACCGCAGTACCATAGGACGAAGTGGATGAACCAAGCTTTCGCCTCGCACTTAGATGTGAGTCAGGAGTAAAGATATATAACACGGTCGCACCGCCTAGATGGCGATACCTCTGCATACCGATCTCGATCCGCGAACACGCTCACTTCAAAGCTACCATCAAAGAGACTTACATTCCACGTCCCGATCTACCACACAGTCACGATGACTTTCCGCTTCCTCGATCTTATACCAGGTACGAGATTCTCTCCGCCTCTTTTGCAAGACGAAAAACTAACGATAGACAGAACTGCGCAATCGGGTGTACCACTTTGCTTCCTTGTCTGAAGAACAACTCATCTCAAGCATGAGATATCAGCCTGATCCCTCTCTCTCGGGCATCGGTGCCGGGCTCACGAAAGTTTGCCGGCAGATTAGAGCTGAATACTTGCCCATTCAGCGTCGTGAAGCGGTAGTCGCGTTCCATTGGGACAACATCGAATACATGCAGGAATGGTTCGATGAATTCTACCCAGCCGGGCCCGATTCGAGCGGCGGTCCTCGCGTCGTGCGGCTTTTATGGGGCAAGCCACAGGATACTTCACAGAATGTTTCAAGACATGATCCCGCTACAGGCTTGGCTATGATTGACGATATGGAGGAACTACTAAGAATCCGCGCGCATTGGACATCGGTTCGCTTCGAAGTTGCTCTGGAAGACTCATACCATACACCCGATGAGTCCGATCCCAACCTTAGCGGCCTGGCAGAGAGAGACTGCCACAAACTGTGTCTTCTTCTTCATTATGACAATCCCACCTGGCTCAACGCTTTACGGAAAAACGTATTCGACAGCATTATCATCGATTATAATTCTCGGCATGCGCCCCCAGCTGTATATCTAGAGGTTGGACGACACGGAATATATTCGCGACACTACTCCATGCAGGAAGTTGAGGACAATATTGAACGAACCTTGAGGGCCAATTGCGGCATGCGAGTTATAGGGTGGGACTCTTCGATAGGTATGCCGTAAAGAGGCTACTGTCAATGAGCGCGGTTTAACAGCGGACGGAGGGGGGAGCGATTTTAAGCAATGTAATCATGATCGAAAATTACATCATGGGGGAGCATAATTCATGTCGTACTGTACACGGATGTCTCTGGGAGTTAGGGTATGGCTGTGTTAAAAGTCCACAACAATTTAAACAAAGTTTACTCGTTAATACATGATACTGTGAGTGCAGCAATGCGACAGCTACCTAGGTATTCTGGATGCCCAGATAACGATCGCGGGGATGATGACGTCATGGCCCAGACAGGTCTCAGGGTCCGCTCCTTCTACCACGACCTACGGGTCTTTCCTCACTGAATGCGTCTCCTGATGTGAACTCTGACCTCCCTTCAGATAGATCAGGCTGCAGTTTCGATTTCTGCCAGGCTCTACCGCTCCCGCTACCGTCTTGCATATAAGAGGGCGCTTGCCTGTACTCGAGTTTGCTCCCACCACAGCCACCACAGCATCGTTCGGTACTCAGTACCCTTATCTATTACCACTTATTGCGTTGTCCCCGTGTCTTGCATCGCAACTATCCCAGCAGCCACTTGTTTGCAGAGGGGACTTTCTATCTAATTCAGGCTCCCACCTCACCTGCCTCTATCATACCACCACTACGATAAGCAAAAGCGATCACGCTGAAGCAAAGTCACGACGCGTTTCAACACAATAGCACGTTTGAATACCCTACAATGGCACGTTCTTGCTCTTGGTCACGAGCCCGATACCGGAGGTAAAAGTTGGAGGGAATTGCTCTCTGCACAATTGCAACCACCTTCAAGGGCAGCTCGCTTTCTTTTTCAGGGTCTGAGCCTGGGTACTCTGAATTGATGACCTGTCGCCGTGACTGCAACTGGCACTGCAATGCTGCCTTCCTTCGCAGGTACAATAGGAAAGACCTACCCACAACCACGCGATTGAATCACGCGCTCCTTCCACGTTCTTGGATTATTGGTACGATGACATCGTATTAACACTTTTCCCTCCAAACTTTATGATACCAACACCACACACAATTATTACAATGGCGTGCCAAGCATCCCCGCTCTCTTACCTGAGGCCTGGCCTCGAAGTGACTTCCAATTCAGGCAATTTCCTCAGTCACCGTCAGAGACGTTGGTGGCGATTATCGTTGGCGTTTCCTCGCTCACCTTTACTTCGCAAGAGATAAAAGAACCTCCATGGTCTACGCTCCATTACTTCTACATCCCGCATTTATCTTGAATATTTGATTATCACTATTTCCCACGCTATCAGCAGCTTCTCTCAAACCCAGCAACAAGCCGGAAGTACAAGACCTCATGGCGTAAGTCCCCTCTCTTCACACGTAGAGCTTATGATTTCCCCACAAAGCTCTCAGTATTGGTTTGATGGACTCTGCTAACTCAGACAGCCCTACTCGCCCGAGCACCCCACCCCCTTCCCGTTCTTCTCCCAGGAAGTTTGGTCATCCGCCAGTCGTTCCTGCCCCTTCTACACCAACTTCACGCCGAAATGGCTTCAAAGGTGGTTTCAACGTCATCATGGGCTCGGAGCATGCTACTGTGCCGCCCTCCCCTGGACTGCCTGTACCTGGCTTCGCGGCACTCACCATGAGTCCTGTCCCTGCCCGGGCCCTGCCCATCCGCCAGAGCAAGCGCAAGCGTGGAGGCCACGCGCGCACTGATGCTGGTGTCAAGAAGAAGACCAAGAAAAAGCCAGATGGCACCATGGCTAAGTTGGTCGATGCTGCTCTCAAAGAGAAGGTCGGCACCAGCGACCCCGCTCTGCAGAAGCCGTTCCGCTTCATGGACCTCCCCGGAGGTAAGTCACTTGATTCTGGCCTATTTGACACAATCTGACTCTTGACAGAACTCAGGAACCAGATCTACATGCACACCCATGGACGTCCCAAGCAGGCCCTCCTCGTTTACCGCCCGCGCCTTGCCTCTCTGCGTCCCCGCACTCGTCTCGATCGCGGCCGTACTTTGGCGTCTGACATCGTCGACCAGGACCAGGAAAAGAAGATCTCGGGCGGCAACAACAAGTCTCGTCTTTCCACTAAGCCCAAGCCCAAGACAGAGCCTCGAGAGACTAACCGTCCCTTCTGGGGCCTTACCCAGGTATGCCGTCAACTCAGGGCTGAGTACCGTCCCATCTACATGGCCAAGCAGGAGATCGGCATGGACCTCACCGAGATCGTGGACTACCTCAAGACTTTCTATCCGACCGCCACGGACGTCGTCTCCAACCTCGGTCCTCCAGGAGAGCGCAGTGAGGACGCGCCTTTTGTGGGCAACCTGACCATCGCGGTTGGAGACAAGCCCAACGAGCTGGAGCGTGCTAGTGATGGCATCGAGGTCTTTACTCTTCTTGACATCTGGGCCAACAGCCTCAAGATTGAAGCTGGGTTCGGTCGCTACCTCAAGGCCAACTACGTTGCCGAGACTGATGGTGAAGCCAAGGACCTGTGAGTTTCCCTGTCTCTTTCATCAAACGATCTATTCGCTGACCATCTTACAGCTACCGCCTGTTCGGCCGTCGCGTCCTTCAGAACCGTCAATGCTCTAGCATGAACGGAAAGTGGCGCTCTATCCTCCGTAGCCGCTCACTGGCGTCAGTTCGTATTCATCGCAAGCCCGCCCAGCGTGACACTGCTCCAATTCCTGCAGCTCCTGCTATGGTAGCTCTGGCAGCAACTCTAGGGGTAGTAATCCCTGCTACCCCTGCCGTCACCAAACCCTATCTCCACATCATCTTCAAGAAGGAGTCTGCTGAGCCTTGGATGACCCAGTTTGAGTCGGTCGTTCCTACTGGTTGGTTGTCCAAGCACGGCTTTGGCGGCATGGAGCACTTCGAAGTCAAGGTCGGCGTCGACCAAGACGACTCCAACTAGCTGCCTGTTCAGAGCTGTCATCTATGGTGCGACGTTAACGTTCCCAAAAGTTGCCATCTTGAATGGACAGCAGCGCATGCGAATATTTCTTGGGCGTTGGACAGATATCTCTACCGGGGTGTTCGTTGACATGCTCAAGATTGGTAACATTTACGAGGTTTTACATATGAAGGTATATCAACTTGATGATCGAAAGGACACGTTGGCAACGCAGCTTGCACGCCGCACCTTGAATATCATCTATCTAGCAGGAATCAATAGTTCGATTCAGGACACCCTGGTTCCCTTCTGCATTGTTGTGACAACTGATACCGGACCACATGCTCAAACAGGATGTCAAAATGAAGAGGCTGATGTAGTTTGTTTCTAAGAAAAGAAAACCCACGCCCATTTGCTTACCTCGGCCAATCAGATCGACATGTTCTCCACAGAGATACACGCGTTTTTCCGAGTGCCCACATCGCGATGGGACTGCAAGAAACACATTTATCGCCGAAGCATGTCTATAATCGTGCGCATAACGTCTTTTCCAAGGACGCTGGAAGCTCTGCGCGTGTGACCGCACGTGCGCGACGTCATGCCCCACTGCCAGCTGCCGCGCCAAACTTCGCTCGCGGCTCCGCCCCAGTGCATCGCGAACCAACTACATCGCACCGGCTATCGCGTTCTACGAGCCGCGGCCTAAAGCCCACCTATTTCCAGGCGGAGGACGTTCCTTCTTCCCCCCTGAAGTCGCGATCCTGATGCGCAGCCCCCTGCATTCGCTAATGAGACAGGTACCGTTTGATGGGTCGCAACAACATGCGCGTCCTCTCGTGTCGAGCAGGCTGGAGCCCCTCGTTCGCTGCGATGCTTTTCCCGCGAGCCAGGGAGCTAGCATGCGATGAGACAATTGACATCCATTGACATCTAGACTTCCCGTCTTCCGCTGGTACAGAACCCCCAAGCGCACGCGCATCCCAGTAAAGCCGTGGTACTGTGAGGTCATCGACAGGGATGACGGCCAGCCGCAACCTCATACACGCCCATAGCTCACCAGCCCCTCCCCGGTCGCTTGGTGTTTTATTTGTTCTTGGGCTTTCAAGAGATTGTGTCGTCCATATGTCTCTTTATGTCGTTTAGGTGTCACTTGGCCAACAACTTCGACGATACTTTCTGCTGCCACTGTACTTCCGAACCCGAATCGCCGTCCCATCCAGACATGTCGCGTCCACAGAGCATGCCTGATTTCGCCGCGCTCATGGAATCTTCCATGTCGCAGGCTGTCTTTGAGTCTTCCAGTTCCAACTTCGAGAAGCGCATCCACAGTCATAGTCGACGACAGACATCACCAGAGCGAAAGCCTCAGAATATGAGGAAGAAGCCGAGCATCTCGCTCGCTGCTGGACTGATGATGAACACCGACACCCCACCAGCGACTGGATCACTATCGCCGCGCAAACGAAGCCAGAGCCGGCCGGCCCAGGAAAAGAGGGTTGAGATGGAAGAGGGTGGGAATCTGTTCTATGCCTATGCGCAGAGGGTGAGCGATGCCAATTGCACTGTGTGCCATCGACCGGCCAACAACGGCGTACTGACTTGTGCTATAGAGCGACTATCCTGCATCTCCTCCATACATCCTCACCTTCGCCTCGGCCGCCATTTGCACGCAATGGTGGAATCTGGTCCAGCAGGAATATACGTCGTCGTCGCGACCGAGCCCGCAGTATTTCGTGGTCAGGAGCGAAGACATGGAGCTCATAATGGAAGACCCCAGGTTCTCCGATATCCAGAACAAGTGGTTCTATACGTGCCAGGATAGCCCGACATGCCCGCCGATTGTCCTACCTCTGCAACATGCAAACGGTGTTCCCGCCGTCGCGCCTCCGCACCAATGCGAAGAGAAGGCGAGCACATCGGCTATCGACAGCCTGGCGGCAAGTCTTACCCAGCTAGCAAGCATAGTCGAGAGCAATGCCGAGCAAGTCCACGCGCTATCAGTCGCGCAATCGACAGGTCTACAAGCGATGCAGGAGATCAACGAGTCGAACAGTATCCAGATCAAAGCCATCTCCGAATCGCAAATCAAGCTACAAGCACTTGTCGACCAGAACGCGTCGCACTACATAGCCCTGTCCAACACATCCTTCCAGTCGCATGAGCAAAGCAGAATAAGTCAAGAACAGACACGGAAGTCACAAGAGCAAACGCGCAAGTCTCAGGAGCAGACCAAGGACATACTCAAGACGACCGTTTCTCAACTCCAGACCCTGTCCAAGAACCAGATCGAGCTGTCACAGACCTGCCAGGGTATGATGCGCACTATCGAGAACCTCGGCGACTCGGTCACACAGTTCACTTCCAATGTCATTTCGGATACCGCAAGCAACCAGTCACTATCCACTAGCTCCTTCAACGCTCTCGCGACCCGCATCAGCCCGCCACCTCGGAAGCTAAACAGGCGGGTCAAAGGCGTTTGGTACGAGTACGACAACGTGGGTTCGGGCTCACCCAGCGGCACCCCCAGGAAGAGAGTAGACTCGATCAATGTGGACACCCCACCGAAGAGCCCGGTTATCTACAAGCACGTTTGACGGTGGTACGGCTGGCTCCGAAGTGTTCGTTTGACACCCCCAACGCAAGAGGAGATTGACGAGGAAGCACGAAACGTGACACGACCATTGCTTAATACTTAATCATCCTGGTGGATATCGTCGCTTAATGACTCCCTCTCTTACGGTGCTGGAAAGCTCCGTCTGGGCCAGCCGTTTGTGATTTGCATTACATTGGCGTTTGGAGCGAAGATTGTATGATAAGGAAGTGGGTTCTTGATGACAGCGAATCAGCTTTCTATCTCGGAGTGATTGTGTATCTTTTACGAAAAGTATGGGCAGCGCGTCTGGTGCATTTTCGGTGCGCTGATTGTTTGTGTTTACGCGACGTCACCGCTAGTCGTGCCTTCCGCAGTCGGCTCTCAATATTCTAGCCGGCTTCACATCGAATCCGCGTTTTCATCGCTTACTGCTATTGTAATCTCTTGCCGTCGAAAAGTCTCTGCACCTCTGCGAATTCCTCTCCCTTGACGCAACCACAACCAATCCGCCCACTCCATCCTGCAGAACCTGCACCATTACCGAAAGCACATCACCACCTTCACGATGAAGTTCCTCAACACCGCTCTAGTACTTGCTCTGAGCATCTGCAACGTCGCCAACACTGCTGCGGTGCCCATTGCATCTCCCGATGTTGCCATGTTGACCTCCGACGCCGTCGCGAGACAAGATCCACCTTCTCACGGCATGTGCTACCTCTACCTCAACATCGTCGAGAAGAAGCCCCAGAACCCGCAAGATATCGATACCACCGTCTGGGTCGCCCTTTCAGACGGCCAGAACAAGACCATCGAAGGCATGACGTACGTAAACCACTCTCACCATGACCGACTTGCCAGTCATGACAGAAGTACACACATTGACATCACGCAGCTGGGACGACGGTGAGCCTCTCAAAGGCATGCTCAACGGAAAGTCGATCGACGGCAAGCCACCGGGCCAAGCACTCAAGATCCACGGTCTCTTCAAGCCCACGGACACCTTCAGCCTCAGGTGGATCAACATGACTCCGGGTGCCCACTGGGAGTGGTTCAAGTTCCAGTATACTGGTGGTATGGTCGGTACTATCGAGTTCGATGATAGCTTCAAGGGCTGGAAGGATGCTTCGTGCAACCGCACTGAGTGGGTCAACCAGGACCGGGACTATTGGGACAGGCTTTCGACCTGCTACTTCGAGTGCTAGGCATCGTCGGGGAAGATACAAGAGGTACTGATGGTGGGTATGTGTGGTGTCCGGGGCGATGGATTGATCTATCTGCAGACAAGTACTTTCTCTGCACGTGATCTTCGCGTTGCTATCTCGACAAGCTCATGGGTAACATAGAAAGAGTCCATCGAATCTCTTTCGATAGCTCCAATCTTTGGCATATCATTGTGCCACATCGTGTTCTGACGTGCTACGAAGACTGAAACGACGTCCGACGTTCCGCCTCGCCGCCCAATTTGGACACGGAGGATCCACTCCGCCATGTAGCAATATGCGCCCAATCTAAATTGAGTCACGTCCACGCCTTCTAGAATTAACATAGAATAATCCACCAAAAAGCAGCAGGCGATCGCTAAACAAGCATTGTACTAATCTACGGATTCCGGGTCGAACATCGTTACACTGCAGGACTGTATGCATATGGTACTGAAAAAGGACTTGACCATTCCGGTATATAAACCACTCATTCAGCGACGGGAACACGGTCAACAAGATCAAATCCAAACAGCTACTACTCACCGCAGCCTGTTCAATACCATCATCATGTTCATTTCTGCCATTTCCCTCCTCGGTTTCATCACCTCCGCATCCGCTCACGGCTACCTAAAGTCCATCTCTGTCAATGGCGGAGCCAACTACCTAGCCTGGCAAGTCGGCCAAGACGACTACCTCACTCCCGAACCTGTCCGCTACGCCCGTCGCATCAAAGATAACGGACCGGTTCCTGACTTCACGTCCAAAGACATTACGTGCAATGTGGGAGGTAACCTGCCAGCGAAAGGCGTTATACCGGTTGTGCCGGGGGATAAGGTGTATGTTGTTTCTTTCTCCTGCTCTCCTCCCTGGAATTCTCCTGGATGAAAAGCATCAACACACCATCTCCGACTTCGACACTCACGCTGACATCCACCCAGCAAACTCCAATGGGACCAATGGGGCTCCTCGCACTCCGGCCCCGTAATGAACTACCTCGCCTCCTGCGGCACAAACTGCAGCACTTTCAAAGGCGACACCGGAACCCCCTGGGTCAAATTCGATCAAATGGGCTACGACACCAGCAAATCCCCTCCCTGGGGCTCCGACTACCTCGCCAAGCAAGGCGCCAGCTGGACCGTTACCATACCCGCTGGCCTGAAGCCCGGTGAGTATCTGCTCAGGCATGAGATACTGGGGCTGCATGTTGCGGGGACGAGGATGGGGGCGCAGTTTTATCCGGCGTGTGTGCAGATAAAGGTTGGTGGGAGCGGGGAGAAGAGTCTGCCGGGCGGTGTGGGACTGCCGGGGGCGTATGATCCGGATGATAAGGAGGGGGTGCTTGTGCAGCTTTGGCAGGTGCAGGCGGGGCAGAGGGGGTATACGCCGCCCGGGGGGCCGGTGAAGACGATCTAGGGGGGAGTAGAGGGTGAGAGGATGGAACGGAGTGGTGTGTTATGGCTGTTAGGAGAGGAGGTATATATTAGAGAATAGTAACTTTCAAGTCCTCTTCCAAACCCAGCTCCATCTCTGCTGCTCCTAAGAGCGGGCCGCCAGATCTACAGCCTCACGAACCACTTCTTCGAGTGTCACCTTGGGAAGCCCTAGCTTGCCATTCCAGATCTCTTGTTCAGCCTCGAAATCATATCCAACATCTACATCAGCCCCGAAACTGATTGCCAACAACCGAAACGTTGCATTCAATTCCCCTGCTTCGAATTCCTCTTGAAAATGCTTGATCTCCGGGCCGCTCTCCTTCTCCTCAACGTGGAACTTGGCCTTAGTCTCCCCTTCCAGTGCTTCGACAATCTGCCTAGTGCTGACCGTGAAGTCACATAAGAAGATCTGCTTGTTTGCGGTCAACTCAGGATAGACCAAGACCCGCGCAACTGCAAGGCCGGTGTTCTTGCTACTCGTAACGGCAAAGCGCCTATCCCCAGAATCGTACACCGTCGCCTTCCTCCCCTTCACATCTATGCCGAGGAAGTTACCAGACTTTGATGGATCGAGTGCCCAGTCCAGCCAACTACCGCAACAAATACTGCTCCACGTCATCTTGCCGTGACTTTCGTCGCATGTCTTGATGAGGTACTTCAGCATTTCTCCCTTAAGGTCGTATGTCGGTACGAGGGCGCGAGCCCGGGGATCGAGATTGTTGGCGCCGAATTCGCTGGGGATGAAGCGTTTTACGCCTGCTGCAAGTGCAGCGTCGATGAGGCGGAATGCTAGACCATCTTTTCCGCCAGCGGTGACTGGGCTGGTGGATAATGCGACTACGACTGCATCTTGATGCTTGAAGGCTTCTGTGAGCTCTTCTGTCGTGAAGGCGTCCGAGATTGTGATGATGGGGATATGAGAGGGGAACGAGGCTGATGAGGATGCGCGGCTGACAATGGTTACGTTGAAGGAGGGTTCCGCGAGGAGCGCGTCAAGTATGGGTGCACCAACAGAACCGGATGCTCCTAGGATGATGACGTTCTTGATGGGGCTGGACATGATGACACCTTACTTCGCGACTTGTTTCTCGTGCTGAATGAGATGGGGTTTGGTTGATGATGCGTTGCCCATCAACGAGCGCCTTCTCTTATACTAAACCATCCATCCACCGCATCGGTGCCCATGGTGCCATGCTCTATAATCGACCTGCGCAACTGGCGATACTTTGAGTGCCGCAAAGGCATCTGATGCATCGGCTGCCGCATGGCAATGATGTTCAATGAGTTACCGGCATGTTTCGGCACGCTCTCTGCGCGATGATAGGTTTCGTAGAGCGATTACATGGAGTTAGTAAGCAGCACGTGACTGTGAGAGGCATCTGCGGCATCGTGAGATTCGCAGTTCGGCGTTTGCATTTGCCAATGCATAGTAATCGTTAGGATGGGTAAGCAATTGAGTCTTCGATGCAGCGACCTGTTAAGTTACTCAGCCTGATGCCGGTTGAGGCGATGTGGTGTGTGCCGCTATCGAAACGAGATACCTAGGTAACCCAGTCCAGCATTGGTAGGATGTCGCATTGTTGTGGCGCAATCGCCATCTGTAGGCCTTCAGAGTGTCAGAAACTGCACATGCATGCGGATTTAGTATCAGTAAGCGTAGTCGCCAACGATGATACGAAATCGCGTTGGCGGTTGTGGGAGGTGAAGAGGCCAAGTGCTAGCTAGCTGCTGCACTCTTCGTGACACGCGCTAAGATTGCGCCCCTCCACCTGGCAGCTTGCTCCTGCACACTCGACCACCTGCATCATCCAGTACAGTACTGCCCATGCTGCGTTTTTCCAATCATAGCATGTTGGCTTCACAAAGTCGCGCAGGAGCCAGCATCAGCCGCATGACTGATATTTCTACCTCGGCTGCTGCCGCCTGCTTCTGATCCGGCGGTTCTTCTGCGCAGCACACCAAAGCTTTGCGCCACAATCTTACGAGCAACTGTTACAGGAAAGATACCATCAGCAACCTACCTTTCACAGAAGGACGCCCATCAGCGCTTGACTCATTAATAACCACATCCTTTGACGAGAATAGTGTGAAAATGAGGATAAAGAGGAAGACTCTGATGCACTGGTTGCGATTTGGACACAGTACACCACTTCTCCGCTTTCTACCATGACGGCAACATCCGAACATCTCGAAGCTTTTGCACCTTTGACATGGGCTACACCGTACCTGACATCTCCCAGCTGGATTGCATGTGACCGCCAGCGAGGCACCGAACCGGGTGAGGATACGGACCGATTTTGTCGCGACACAATGCGCGCGAACAACGGCGTGAGAAACTGGCTCGAGCTGTACGAGAAGCCGGCGCCGGGCGCCAAAGTCACCAAGTCGATATCTCTGATCAAGTATGGAACCGGCTTGAACGGCTTTCCCGGCATCTGCCACGGTGGCGCATTATTGACGCTCATGGACGAAGCAATGCTGCACATCCTGGTCGCCAATACTGTGCTTGAATATGGCCTTGGCTTTATGAAAGTAGGAGAAGACTACTGGAGACTCCAGCTTCATGATGGAAAGTCGGCACAAGAGGTGCTTAAGGGCCGATTAGCCACAGCCACCATGGACGTGAAGCTTCTGGCGCCGGTGTTATGCCCTGGTGTTGTCGGCATTGAAACGATTGTACTTGGGGACACAGGGAACAAAATGCGGATGAAAGCCACGATGAGGGATCGACAGGGCAAGCCGCTACTTACAGTCGAGGGGCTGTGGATCAAGATTCGCGGTGCTGCAAAACTATAACCACAACCACCGCCAGTGTGCGAAGCAAACCACGACAATCGCACACGCTTCTCAGTTCTCCGTCTCACTCTATATTTCCTATCGCAGGCTTGAGTAACCTGCCACCCAACGTCTATCTCCATCGCACGTGCGCAGGGATCCCGGATGATCTCGCATTGATCTCGGGCACGCTAACCCACCCGAGACCCGTGAGCTATTGGTCCTTCCTGCAACGGTAAACCTCCGAAATCAATGCCTGCAGCAATATGTGCACTGCGCAGCATGTAAACACACATGCCATCCCTTTGGCCTACCATTCGTTATGACGTCTAAGGTAGCCTAACCTATCCCGCACCACACCTGCGAGTCAACATCAAGGTCGTTGTATACTTAAGAGCAAGCCTACATTGGTAGAAATCTGATCAGACTGCACGATCAAGTTGTCAAGTCCTCAACACAGTTCAAGATGCATTCCATCCTTGCCTCCGTCTACGCTCTCTCTTCCCTGCTTCCCCTCGCCATTGCCCAAACCTCCGGCACGTTCAACACCCTCACTTTCAACGTCGCTGGTCTTCCTGCTGCCCTGAACGGTAACGATGTTCCCGGTGATAAGACAACAAACACTGCCCGTATTGGAAAGTTGTTCTCTCAATACGATATCGGTGTCATCAACGTTCAAGAGGACTTCAACTACCATGCCACACTATATGCGAACGACGATCACCCATATAGGACGCCTACCAGCGGAGGAGTGCCATTTGGCAGCGGCTTGAACACTTTGAGCAACTATCC